CATCTTAAAGTGTTCATCTTAAAGATCTTAAAGTGTTCATCTTAAAGTGTTCATCTTAAAGTGTTCATCTTAAAGTGTTCATCTTAAAGTGTTCATCTTAAAGTGTTCATCTTAAAGTGTTCAGCATAAAGTGTTCAGCATAAAGTGTTCAGCATAAAGTGTTCAGCATAAAGTGTTCAGCATAAAGTGTTCATCTTAAAGTGTTCAGCATAAAGTGTTCATCTTAAAGTGTTCAGCATAAAGTGCATGCCGACTTTGACTCTTTCATACGCAACAACGCAAACTTGTCGGAATGACTGGAGTAGCAATAACTATGATAAAACTGTTCATTGAAATGCCATTGAAGCATGGTGACAATCAGGTCCTTGAACTGCAATTGAATCGGACGTGCGGTCTGACTAGTCATGAAGTCTTGTTAAAACTCGAGTCCCTGTTGGTCTGTTCTCTTCAGTGGATCCACAAGGGATCGTTCATGATTTAATAAGTGGAACAACATGGCCAGCTGCAGTCATGGAGAAAACCGACTCTGTTTTCACTGTCGATTTGCTGAAGTGTCTTCAGCCAGATATTTTCCGTCACACATCACAGTGTTTCGTTTCCGCTTCGCGACGTGTCCTGATGTGCATGTAAACCAGTTGCACCTTGTTAGTTGAACAAGTTTAAGAGTGAACAGGGTTCCCACTCGTCCTGGAAAACCTTGAAAACCTGGATAATTGATGAAAAACTTTCCAGTCATGGAAAACATATGGAAAATTAGAGAAAGTGTAAAATGTCCTGGAAAATCTTGTTGTTGTCCTGGAAATTATTATTTTAAAAGTTATTCGTTTTTTATTTAGGCGAGAACAAAGAGTTTTTCACTGGCCAAAAACAATTACCGTTAGTTGTTGAAAGTACAATGTTCTGGAATGGTGAGTTTTGACATGTGAGAATAGTATTTTAAATGATGATGTTTAGTTTAGCTAATGCTATTAACTGCTCAAATGTATGCAGCGAATGTTAAATGGTAAGCAGCTACCTAATTCAGTATCTTGCTAACTAATAATTTTGAAGTGATTATAAAGTCAATAAGATATTAATTGTGCACTGTATCCAGCTTCATTGATTATAACAGGAGTTTTCACAACAGTGCTGAACTCTGTGAGGTAGCGCTGAAGTGATTGACAGCTGTAGTGATTAAAAAAGGAATGCTCTTTGTTTGCTATCTGTATATAATCCATTCGCAGTTTGAGAAAAGTTTTATTTTTCATGCTGCTATGTATATACACACTGCAAAGTTTTGGGAACGACGACTAACTTATTTAAATGCGGGATTGAATCCAAAATTTTATTGATTGACATGGTGATAACCAGCATTGGATGGGACAAAAAATTCTGATGTCAAAATAGATGTGTGCAATAAGTGTAAATGCTCGTCCACACGAAGACGCGTTTAGCTGTATACGTAAAAACTTTGTATCTTATCAGCGTTTCGATACAAACAGATCCGGAGTTTTGGGATCCTAAAACGCCGGATAAAAACTAAAACGTACATTGGACACAGGACTAAGACTAAATAAATATAAAAATTGCTGACAAAATGCATGACCCCTTATGCAACAAAAATATATTTCTCAATATATTATGTGACAATATATTTCATGTGTCTCCATATATTGTGAAATTTACATTGTAATATATCATATGATATATTATATAATAATATATTATATATATGCAATAATATATTGCAATATATGGGACAATACTGCAATTATTGCCGTTTTCATATATTGAATAAATACATATTATTATACTATTTAATATATTGTTAGGTATATTGAAATATGTCCCATATTATATGAAATTATATATTGGAAGAGGCATTGTATATATGTGAAAATATATATGTAAAATTATATGAGCTAATATACCTCAATGTACCAGATAATATAATCAGATATATATGCAAACATGTCTTAAATATGTTGAAAAATATATTGATTTATATTACATAATATATTATATATAATTATCATATTATATATTGTATACAATAATTTACCATGTGGGGGAATAAAAAGTGGACTAAAAAATGTTGTAATTGTTGCTGTTAATGATAATTTAATTTATACTCTCATCTACATTTTACAATATATGAATCAATACATAGCCATATATGGTCCATCCATATGGCTATATAATGTAAAATATAATGAATGTCATGCAAAAATTTGATTTGGACTATTGTTAATCAACCTTTCTGTAAACCTATGCATGAGCTTACTTAACTCATAAAAAAAATACTTTGTTTCAATAAACATACATGCAATAATGTAATACAGTTTTGTTTGTATATCAATGTATTTTAATATATGAATCAATATATAGCAATAGGTTGTCCATCCATATATTGTTATATATTTTCAAATATATGAGGCAGTTTCTGATATATTGAAATATATTTTCTAATGTATTGCAATATAAATTCTAGTATATTGCAATATATTTTTGTTTCGTAAGGGACACTAACACTAATAGAAAGGCACTCTGCATCTGCTAGACTACAAGGTAGTGGAGGGGTCTACAGTTAAAGGTTGTACTACTTTAATTTAGAGTGTGTGCTGCAGACTATTGAGAATATTGAGCTGAAGCTTGACTTTGCAAAATTTTATCGCAAATCAAATCGCAATATCTGTCAGAAAAATCGCAATTAGATATTTTCCCCAAATCGCACAGCCCTAGCTTCCATAGTGATAATGTATGATTAAGAGCTCATATTAAAAAGTGATTTTATAGTTAAGTCATGGCAATAAACTGTACGCCTTTTAAAGATTTAGAGAGCAATATATTACTTTAGGGCGTGATCCTTGTCTTTTTTTCCCGTTATAGTACAATTGAAAATGTCCAGAAAAAGACCTGGAAAATGATTGCTGAAAAAGAGTGGAAACCCTGGTGAAGCATTGTAGCTGAAACCGATAAGTATATAATTGTAATGTTACAGTTAGATAGTAATATGTACAAGATACACCTGTAAGATATTTATAATTAAGATAATAAAGACAGAACTAACAAACAAAGGAGCAGATCACACGACAAAACAGAAAACATGACTAATATCAAAAATAAAAGACATGAAAACATGAAAAAAATAAATAAACAGACATGATGGTATGTGTGTATAGATATAGATAGATACACACACACACACAGTTGGGGAAAGTTACTTTTAAAAGTAACGTCACAATATTGCATTACTCCCTAAAAAAGTAGTTACTTTTTATGGAAAGTAATGCGTTACATTACTTTTAGATTACTTTTCCTCACCTGGGCGGAGCCTGTTTTTTTTTAATAGCAACCACAAAAAAAGTTGTATTTTTTGCCAAACGTAAAGGTCCTTTCACAATAAAATTCAGTAAAATAAGTTCAACGCTGATCTCAGCAACAAAAACACAAATGTGATGTTCATCTGAAGTCATTTTTGCTGGTTGATATATTTGAACTGGATCACTAAAGGTCAGCAGCAAAGACATTGGTCAATGAAGTGAGATATAAAGTACATTTGTGTTATTTAACACTTAATTATTGCATATTTTTCAGGAAAATTGAACTCTTTTCAGCCTCAGCACCAGGTTTGGAAACTGATGGTTTGTGATGATCTCAGTGTCGGTGGGCATCTCTCGAGGTTTAATCAACAGAAGTACTTTGTGTTTGTAAAGCCTGTTCTGGTCTTGTCATCCCTCCAGCTATAGAAGATTAGAATGAAAGCCTTCATGATAAAGCCGAGCGTATAGATATCTACATCTCTTCCTCTCTGAACAAATGACCCACATCTGCTTCCACTACCTTTGAGACGGGCTCTTCGAGAAGTTGTTACTGCTCTGTTGGAGTTCGTTTAAAACTGAGCCGCTCGAGGTCATCATGAAGAGCCTTAGATAAGAAATTCCTTTACAATTATGCCAACATGGACATGTCCTTTCTTTAAAGAGTTACTGTGTAGCTTTTAAAAGGAAGTCATAACTGTGATGGGTTTGATTACCCCCGTGTCCTTGTGCAGAATGGTGTCTCCTTTCGTTTTATTGGCCTCTTAAAAAGTTTGTCAAACGCTGCATGTGCTCTGGGTGTTAAAGTGTCTTTAGGACTGTTGGAGTTGTCAAGTTAAGGGTGTTTTACCTCTCAATGGATTTTACAGCCACTGGAGAGTACATTATATCAGGCTTAAGAGGTCATGTTGACATCCGAGCTTAGTTCTTTTTTATTTAACTTTAGTTTTGGCATTAAGTATTATGCTTTTTTTGAGCTGTTTGTGAATGTAAAAGATCAAAGTGCAGATAATGGAGGATGGAGTTAATGTCTCCCAAAAGAAAGAAGCGATTCTGAACTGAAACGAGTCGTCAGTAATTCAGTCTCACTTCCTGAATCTAAGTAGGTTTGTAACTCATTTGCATAATGCCAGTCTATGCTCCTGATTGGCTGAACAGCGTCTCTTAGCCCCGCCCTCAAACACTGTAGTGTATCTGAGACTGGGAGAGTTCGGCTCGTGTTGTTCGTGTCGAGAAGACGCTGTTTTCTGCTGACAAAGCAAATCCACTTTGATGAGATTGATACGGTGAAACCCACGCCATCGTTACTGTTCATATCACTGTGATCAAGAGCTGAGGTTCAGATATGCTAATGAGCGTTTGCTTTCTGACCAATCAGAGCAGCGCATCTCTCAGAGAGGCGGGGTTTAGAGAGACTGAATCTTTATCCAAGCGTTTCAGACACTGCGAGAAAAGAGCTGATGCTGCAATGTACAGTATATTATGAGAAAATTTGTGTTTTTTGAACCTCGGATGCATGTAAATCTTTTGTGAGAGACTCAAAAACTAAACTAGGAACCTTTAATAGTGAATTGACAATTTAAAACTCAGTGTTTTAGTTTTGTAAAAGCCACATGGGTTATCATTTTGTCATGTACTGCAAAAACATGTGTCCATATAGGTGTATGTTTTCAAACATGGTCTTTTTGCTTGTCATCACAG